TATATATTCAAGGCTTCTACTGATATGCGTTGTGCTCCGTTTGCAGGTTGGGTAAATGTTTGATGACTTATCGGCCCACTTGCTCTGTCCCACTGTAACTCAAGCCCTTGTCAGGTCATTTACTGTAGCAATTACTGACATTGAACAGCTTTCAATCAGTCCTTAATTCACACCTTCAGTCTGCGATCAATGTGTACATTACACTGAAATTACACACTAATAATCAGTTCTACTTATCAATAAACCACTGGGCAATAAAGCAAGCTGACAGAGGAGATGGGTCTTTGTACAAGGCTATCGCACCCTCTATTGGTGTATGAATGTAATTTAACTGTGATTAAATAGTGTACATTTAAAAGGTAGAAAACAGTTTAATCCAGCAATCCGTAGATACCAGGTTACGATCTGTATAGACCAATAATCACTTCCATGTGAGGATTAGTAAGCCAGGATGTGTGTGCTGAGGACAAAAGTAGACACTTTTGGGACCCGAGTGTTGCTAGAGCTGGGAGAAAAAAGAGAGAGGAGAGCTGAACGATTAGAGGCGTATTTTAAGGAGGAGCCGGGAATGATTCACAGGAGTTGGCAGAGTGAGTAATGGTAGCAGAGTCCTGCACCGGTGCTTTTATGAGGTACTTACCCCCCACCCCCTCTGCAGCACTAAACGCTATAGATCACGTACTTCAGCACTGCTACTATGCTTACTGCTGTTCTGCTTGTCAGATTAGCCCGCATCATTAATTGGAAGATTAAAATACTATGAAGAGGTGGCAAGGACTGAGAGGAGAACATAGATGTTTTGATAGGATTTCTGCTCGCTTGACTCTGCTATACCTTAAGTCTGCATCAACGGTCAGGGTTACCACTTTCTTCCTTCATCCTGTGAATGGGTTCACAGCTCAGGGTGCTATGAATACAATGATATACAAGCTTGACAGAAATGCATCACCTGTACTATTCTGTGCTGGATATACAATGTATTTATTGTGATGGAGTTAGGAGATGTCATGTAGAAAAAAATGAGACGTCTCAGTAATCATTGATAACTAAAACTCAGTGATTGTTTAATGTTCCTCCTTGTGTTAAAACGACTTATCAATAAAGAGTAGCGCGTTCCAATCATTCGGCGTAGGCTTTTGTGGTGAGACGTTAGTTTACTGTACAGTGTTTCCTGCAGCCTGGATTGAGGCAATAGTCAATGGAAAGCTATTAACGCTTGCTTCCTTACATAGCGCAGACATTGCCCTCTCCTGGGGAAACAGGACAATCTCATGTAGAGCAGCGAGATTCCTTTGACTGGAGTGTAATGTTTCATTCTGGTCTGAATATTTTAGTCAATATAAACTGACAGATGAGTCTGACTCTTGGGGGGGGGGGGGGGGGGGGGAGACAGTAATTAATTCTCTCGTTATTTACCCTTTTAAAGAAGAAGTATCACCAATATCAGGGAAGCAATTTTCCCAATCTATGACATTTTTTTAAATACACACAAGAGAACTGGCAGCTGAATTGAAACTTGGTGAAACAAGACAGCAAAGGTAAGCATGCAGATACTATTTAACTATCTAAAGTTTTTAAATAATCTAAAACTAGATATAAGACACAAAGACAAGAAGTCATATTAACAAGTGTTAACATTTGACCCATAATGACAGTCACCGTTTATGGAGTATTATAGAGAATCAGAAGCAGTAACAATGATAAAGAACACCCCAAAAAATAAATGTACAACTTCTGATTCCATTGTTTGACGGAACTGTTGAAAAGTCATAAAAAGGACACCGACAATATTATAAAATATTTGTATACATTTCTTTATTAAAACAATAAACATCCAAAGTGTTAGAGAGAAGAACAAAAGCACACCAAGAGTTAGGCAACTGGAACGTTTCAGTATGAACTCAACAGCGCTCTGCAAGATTAGCTCGTCAGTGCATTGTAACATTATGAATTATAAAATTCAAAACATGAAAATAATCAAATACATCTCGATTGTGAGGACGGTATCTTGCAAGTGAGGAAGCCAAAGTTACAGTCAACGTGAGAGCACTGACACAAAATAAACTAGTACACACTGCTGCTAATATTCGAGACACGTTGTCATCACGTTATCAGTTTACACACCTCTATAATGACCAACGCAAATCATACCAAAAAAGCATAAGGTATTACTACTGAATGTTAAAAGATGAAATACAGACGAGAGTCATTTCAAAACATCCCATGTTCATGTGACAGATTAGATCTACAGACACCGAGATACTAGAAAAAGTACGTGTTTTGCTTTTTACAATGCAAAGCTGGTTTACTGAATTTAACATAAATTATCACCGAAAAAAAGCTCATTTCCAAAACACAGTTCTTCATGTACACTTCAAAAAATGTTGGTAACTGTATTCCATGTAAATTTGGTTGTTTGTGAATGGTAGACAAATCTGACAGAGGACTAGTATATTTCCCAGTTGTTATATATTGTATATTATATCATAAGCAGTTTTATGAAATATCATGTTGAAAACATTTTGACCAACACTGTTTTGATACATTTCTGAAATGATGGACGGAACAAGAGACCAAATGACCGCAATGTCCAAGAGTGAAGAGCAAATTGAAAATAAACACTTTGGGATTTATTGATGTTCAGGCCAACTCCACAGTCACACCTGTGGAACCCACGAGAGGGTCCGCTACTCATGAATCAGACTGCATAATCACTGCAGTGCTCATAAATAACTGTCAACAATTAATTAATAACGAGACAAGCTGTTCCTGGTGTTGGAGTGATTGCTGATAATGACTTGTCAGCATGTATACTCTTATATAAATCTTCGAGCATATGAAAAGGGGAGGTGTTTATATCAAATACAGTCATGACCTGTGACTTTGTTTGGCTGTCTGCAGTACCGTTGGTTACCTCTCTTCCTCTCCCCAGCTCGAAGCGTCACAATCAGAAGATGCACCAGAAATCAACAATCCATTAACATTGTTAACAAATAGTAATCATATTAAACCCTTTAAAAAGAATAAAATCTGGAATCCTTCTCCTGTACAGCGAATGGCGATTGGTGACCCCCCCCACCCCTCAGTTGGTTTTGGCAGTGGTCTAACACTTGTGCTTCATGGCGAGCTGTAGAAAAATCAGGGTGGGGTGGGGGGGTGGGGTTGCAGGATAATACAATGAGAATTTTGAATTACCCCACCAGCCAAATGCTATAGCTAAAAACACCAAGTACTGCATCTGTAACAATACATGCAATAGCGAGCACAGTGAGTGAAACCAGGAACGGCACAGATTTGATTTAATATTTTAGAAAAGTTCCACTCAAGGAGAAAAAGCTGTTGAAGAGGGTTTATTATACAGGTGCTGGAAGGCAGCCAGGGGTCGTGGTATTTTTTTTTTATTAATGCAATGACAAGGCAACTTCATTTATCTCATTAACATGGGTTCTAATGGGCTTAGCTGGAGGCTCGTTAGAGAGATGGCCGGGGCCACTGATCTAATACAAAGCTACGGGGTATGGAGATGTGAGGATGGAAGGCACACACACACACACACACACACACACACACACACACACACACACACTGCAGAGTATGGACTATGTTGGTGTAGGATAGGAGAACTGAATTCTACAGATCGAGCAAGTGGGGGCAGTAGAGCAACACACAGAAATGACGGGTATGTTTAAAATTGAGCAAAGCGGCGAAATCGGCTGCTGACACAAAGTGAGGCGCAGAGATGGATTTGCAGAAGTGAACTAAGAGAAAAAGAGTCACGGTGACCCTCTGACAGTACTGCAAACACTACGATTTGAAGCTACTTACAACACATGCATTGTTAAAGCAATCCTCAGAAGATAAACGGTCCTGTCAATTCATCAGTAATGGCTTCTTTATCAGTCTGTAAGGCCACCAAAAGCCTTTAACTGACATGCAAAATTATGGATAATAATGTGCAAGACAAATGATAACACAAAAAAATATATAAAAGCTAATGACAGCAAGTGAAATGAGAAACGCCAGCAAATGAGGGCTTCTACACAGGGGTTCTACAGTCCTGAAACCACCAGAGCCGAGGCATTTCGCTTTGCTTATCACAGTTTTTGTAATACATCCCAACGGGGAAGCTCATCTTTGAACAGTGAGAGAGCGATGCAAGGCTTTTGAAATGTCTTTCAATTATCCCACCATCACCAGCCTTGGCTTTATGCATCGTTCAAAACATTTCAGTAGGCAATGGATAGCTGTATTTTTAAAAGGTTATTGGCATCCCACTTTAGATGGCACATGTCTCAGTGAAGGCTATCCACCAACAACAAGACAGAGCAGTAGGGCTGCCTCATCTTATACAAGATACTATGTGCTATTAAAGTCATATACTGTGTGCTATTAGAGAGACAGATATGATCATAATCAGGTGGGCTCGTTACAAAGCAATAGAGTTTTTTGTTTTGCAGTAAAAATAACCATATTATGCCAATAGCCTAATTAAAGAGCATGCAATTAGTTTTGCTGACAAACAAGACGACATGGGAGGATCGATGTAGGAAGAGGGAGCACACGACTGAAGTTATAGTAAATGAGGGAAGAAGAAAAAGACTATTATCTTCACAGGGCAGAGAGCACCACTGCTGAGAGGCGGATGTCATAATGAAGCAACTCCAGCAAATATCCTCAGGTTACGTAAAATGTTTGATATTTCGGCTGAAGACACATTGACTTAAAAATTCTGACAAGATATTCCACAACATTCCATGTGCCGGTTTAAAATAAATTCAGTAAGGCCACCCTGAGGTCATGCATTATAAGGCATCTTGCTAACATATTGCCTCACCTTCTGTGCAGTAACAGAGAACTGTTCAGCACTGTTCATCATGTCTGCAGTCCTCTCCTCAGCCCGACCTAATCGCTCGCCGCGCTCATTCAGAGCCTGGCTGGCCTTTTGTACGGCACTCGTCACACTGTCCGCCGCTGAGTGTAGTATACTGTTGCCTGCAGATAAGGGTTGGGGGGGTGAAGAGGCAAGACAGAGGCAAGACAGAGCCAAGACAAGTGAAGAAGAAAAGTGGGACACGAAAGAGGAAAGAATTGAGATTCACTAGTTGAACAACTGAATTTAAGAGACCAGTTGTAACAAATGTACCTGTGACATTAGAAGCATGTATTTAAATCAGTGACCACAATCATTGGTGTTAATTCTGGAAGACTAAAACATGATGCAGTAAATAGCTTCCATCAGGTGCAACATGGTAAGGTGGCTAATGAGTTTCCTTCAAAGTTGACCTACTTCAAGGAAAGATCAAGTGGAATTAACCTTTTAAACAAGCAACAGCAAGACCGGATTAAAGAAAGCATGTCATTCCTCTCCTCTCCTTCTCCTTCTCTCCTCTCCTCCCCTCTCATCTTCTCCTCTCCTCACTATATTGTAATAAAGAGATGCTATGTGCTTGGCTGCATGGGCAGCCCTGGAGATCCAGTAGTGGATAAAAGACAGAGAACACATCTTCCGATAACTGTGGCAGCCCTGCGGATGTTTCCTCTGACAAGCCATTAATCTACCGCACGTCGGGACTGCAGTTATGCGCCATGGTAGCAACGAGCCTCAGAACAGCAATCTTCCTGCTGCTTTCTCTTTGTCGGCAATACAGAGCAATACAGAGCAATACATGCCATTTTAATTACACCACCAGAGTGGCACCACAAGAATCCCAGCATTTAAAAAGACCCCCAAAAATGACTCGGGGCACAATATTCTGCCTTTTAGAATATATATCTTCAGGTTACTGATTTGGTGAAGCCGGTCCAGGACGGTCAAATACCCAGCTACACTGTCAGCTCTTACCCAACTTTAAAAAGTGGAGAAGTGAAAAATAAGAAAGAAAAACACAACAAACACCCGGTGGAAAGATAAGCTTCGATTTTTCCAGGGTCTATATCTTTGGAAATACAGCAAATGAGTTTGAGGAGAAGAAACAGACCGATCAAAGCTTGACGGTATTGGCTGTATTAAGACTTAACGAGCCAGATTCGATCTACTCCCACAGGAAATTGCAATACAGTGAGCGCATGTCCCGTGGCATCAAAGCAGGTAGGCTGAGTGACAGATAATTGGGACAGCTATGCTCTACTGCAGAGGGTTATATGACAGCCCGAAAGCAGCTGGTGTTCCTTCAAAAGAAGTTAACTTGATAAAGTCAAAGCCGTTCATACAGAGACACACCTGTGCCGCAGACACACAGATGGATGTTCATCCAGCTACGCACACAAAAGGGAATGGAAACGCATACACAAGGCCTTTCTTTGTTACATTTTCCAGAGATTACTTTAAATGAACCACAGAGTAGAGGACACATTGCACATGAAAAAACATCTTGACATATGATGAAATAAGCTTCACACCTGTCAGGATTGCGTTTTCATTTGCTAACAGTATACGGCATACAAGAACTCCATAGTCTACAACTATATTTACTTTACTGCAAAGCAAATCATGTGTAATCATACATTGAAAAAGTGTTTTCTGGTTTGCACAGGCTAAAAGACATCCCTGCTCTGCTTCCATTTGAAAGAAAAAATAAATAATAATACTTTGACTGAGAAGCTTTAGGTTGTCCGTTTCACCTTCAGACAGATTCCTCTTAATCCCCTCCTCCCCGGGAAGAGCCCAGGAAGTGATACTGCCATCATCCTCAATATAACCCCCACTCTCACAACCCTTCCCCACCATATACTCAAGAGAACATCTCCCTTCATTTGTCTGCACTTATATTTTCCTTTCTCTGGAGTCTTTCTTCTCACCAGAGATCAGTGGCGGGCTGCAGCGTGGGCTCCCCCAGTGGAGAATGTAATTACAGTAAAAGGCAGGCTGGAGATGTTCTGGAAAAGCTCATGAAAGAGCTGAATGAAAGATATGTAGGAGTAAATTATGTAATGTGGTGGCCTCGCTGCAGCCTTAGTGACTCTTAACTTAAAGTGGGAGCTGATCAGTTGTCAGTGTTATCAGTATTAACAGCTACTTGTGTTACTTTGGAGGTTTACTGATAATATTACAGTCATTTTACTGACGCAGGAGACTTTTTTTCTGTTATGACACTGATGACTGGTGCATCTACAAGAGGGGCTTTTTGTGATGATTTTTGTCAACTGGCATTGTTGATGCAGTACGAGGCCGGTCCTGTGGCACGCCTCTCTCAACAATGCGGGAGGAATTTTGTTGTCATATCCCATAATATCATATCAAGCCAGTGTTTCTTTAACAATGGAGACTGAACAAAAACAAAATATTCCAGAAAATAGAAACTATGAGCAAAGACAAACATAACATGAAGGGGAGAGTTCATTCAAAGTCAACCCCTCCTTCTCCAGCGCTGCTGTAGGCAGTAGATCACAGGCTGTGCTGCTGTGGCGCTGATGAAAGTAAGCTGATGGTTATCAACGGGAACATTTCAGCTACACTTTACGAGACGCTGACAGCCAAGTCACACTTACTCGCAAAGTATATGGGATAGATTAGATTCAAGGGTTTACTTCAAGAACAAACACACCTACACAAAAAGATCCATTCAAACAATACAGAACATATTACAGGGCTTTTAATACGCTCACTCTGGCAGTGTATATGATCCTATTATCACTGCTCCAGGATAATGGTGCGGGGTATAACGTGGGGGTGTCTGAAGGGAGAGTGTGTCTTACAATAATTTCTATTACCGAGCACATACTTATCTGCACTTCGACAAGTTCCATCAATAATTCTCCTTAATACCCTGATATTACCGGAGGGATTTCGTTATTCATCCAAAGAAACTTATGAAGCATTCTGTTTCTTTCTGAAAGTGATCCCAACTCTTCACATAAGCTGCACCAACCTATCGAGAGCCTCTCCACTCTGAATCGACTCAGTAATTGCAGTTATTGTCAACCTGGACCTTAATTTCCAAGTTTCTGCTTGACATACAACATGATTACATTTTACTGTACTAGTTTAAGTACAAAATCACATTAAATCTGTAAACAGCAGGAAAAAAAATGCACAAAACTGATCTATACAGTCAACTACTTTAAAAATGTATGGTTGATTTAAAATGAGTGAATACAGGATCATGTCAAATGTGTCTGTTTCAATGTGTTAAACATTTCATATTGTATCAATAATAATACAATATATAAAACAATAACATTTTCAACCTAAATCAACAAAATCCCCTGTTGCTGCTAGAGAACTGGCCATAAAAGTTACCAAAGAAGAGTGCAAGGAATATTATACAGTTACGTTTTATAATTGCAATTTTATGATGAATTCCACCCGAACCACAACTGTATTTACAGTTTCAGTGTAACCGACAAAACGTCTTAATTTATCTTTAAATCATATACTGTTGTGAGGATACATGCTATTGGACAAGAATCCGTTTGCTATACAGAGTACATTAACAACTAGAGATGCAAGTCTATCATAAATACAGCAGAGGCTTAAAGAATCAATGCTGCTACTTGGCAATTTCAAACAGATTATGCGTACAGTAAAATAATGATCCATAAAATGAGAAACAAAACAAGAAATGGCTATTGTAATCAACATCCTAGGGGCCTAAAGACACAGCTATGCAGCAAGTAAAAACCCTGCTGCCATTTCATTAATGCAAATCTTGACATTATCTGCAGCAGCATAATGAAACTCCAATCACTTTTCTCCTCATTCCTCCTGCAGTTATTCCCTAAACAGTTCATTCTCACTTTCAATGGTCACTCCCAAACCTTTTATACACAGCGGTTCTCCCTTTCTCTACGTTTCCAAATCATTTAGCAATCTGTACATTTCCGGCTTTCTCTGATACAACACTCTCTCTCTCTGTGTGAAATACAAACTGCATACACCCAAAGTATGTGCCTCATTATATCATTTTCTTACAATCACCACAATGTTGCTCCTCCCCTTCCCCACCACCACCGGCATCCAGGACTTTGACTTGCTTGGCATCATCTTTGACCTACATGAAATCCATTGCACTATTACTCAACAGTTAATGGAAAATGTGTCATCCAGTGCTGAGGTTTGGGACAAATGATCCTATTATAAATAGTCATTAATATGTATAGATATTGTGTTTGCTCTGCGCTTCTTGAACAAAATTGCATTTACTTTTAATGCATATATTCATGTGTCCTACAGGCACTTTTTAACTTTGGAGTGAGGCAGATGCGTGGCCTGAACGACTCCTTAAAACCTTCGGTTAACCACTCAGATAAAAGCAAGGCATCACTCAGCCCTGACATTATTTCATGAGGGGAAAGGCTTGACCTCGATCGCTCAGTCGGCCTTTAGTTAAGTCACTGTCTTGCTGGTTAAAAAGCGAGGCATTAATTAAGGACACCAATGGGGACAAACGTGGAACATTCTGTACCGACTGGGAAAATAGCCAATAGGCATTCATGAACAGCCTATTCTCAGTGGCTTTAATCAGCAGATAAATGTCAGCAGCACACAATGCATTAAACGGTCATCAATTTCATCATAATCTTGTCTGAGCTTGAATGTTAATGTGTGAAATGATATACAGAAGTACAGAATACTGAGGAAACCATTAAGGAAGAAGCACTCCGTCATTGTACTGCCCTCGTACGTCAAAATGTGATTTACCTCTGCAAAGCATTACTCAGCGACTCTGCACACAGTGTGACAGTGAGGGGCAAGGACAGTGAACATAACTCACATAAGCTTTGGATGTAAACTTAAAAAAATCCCTTTCAGCATGTAGTCCACCCCCGACAGTGAAAACACAAACCAGGGAAATGTTGACCTTGTGCTCACTGGGAGCATACAGAGGCAAGCTCTGTGTGTGTGTAAATATTAACTTCACTATATCTTTAAAACTTGACAACACAATCCCTGAGAGCCAAGCACAGAGCCCTCAGTTCAGAAGGCAGGGGAAGGCTTTGTTTTCTTTTAACAACAACCTAATTTAGTGTAGTCAGATCTTGTAAGTGCAAGTACTGCTTTAGATATTCTTAATACTTAATTGATCATAATTTGTTCGCTGTGAGATAAGTCACGCCTCTTATGAAGCGTGACTTCTATTGGGATTCATCACTTGTTGGTGAGCAACACTCTTGTTTAAAAAAGAGAAACTTGTTTTTCCTTGTTTTCTGGATGACCTCAACACTTTTTAGTAAGGGTTCATTTAGTCCAAGTAGTTTTGCATACTTTACTGTACTGGCTTACCTCGTCTTAGCAGATGACCGTGGCGTGCAAAAAATTCTTTCCGCATTCTGTTCAAATAGACCTTGCAACGGAAAATGACTGAATCTACAGCTTGGTCTTCTGTGATGAGAAAATATCAAATATCATAGTTAGCTTTGATGTTGAAAACAAGTTTGGAAATTAGTCAAGAGGGGTTTGAATTATTATTTCATGAGTTAAGTATTGAGGGTTTAGTTGTAAATGTCATGCAACAACTGTGACTGGTAACTGTTGATTAGTCATCATCAATTGATTGTAAGCCTTCCTAAGAATGAAAATTCCCCAAGAGCATTTAGCGTAAACAACTGGAAGACATGTTTGTCTAACGCTGAGGGTTTGAAAGCATCCAGTTAGTTCACAGATTTAATCATTCCTTTAGAATCAAGTCATGAATACGTGCCGGTGAGATAGAAAAGCTCAGGTGGGAATGACCGGGTATAACAGTGTGGGCAGCAGCAGCCCAAGTCGGCACTAATAACAAGGCAATCAACAAATTATTATTTCTGGGCCTATTACATAACCTATCAAGGATCAGAAACTGTATCCGGCTCTGACAACAGTCTAAAACTCTGCAAAATCAGTTCACTAGAGTTAAACCATGAAGGCTCTTTACAGGATACAGAAAAAATAAAATAAAAGATATTATAAAATATCTTTCCTGAATTGAATTTAAATCTAGAGTGGAGTTGATATTATAGTGCACGCCATTTAAATAATTACTTTAACAGGTGCTTTTATGACTCAATCACATATTTAGCATCATGAGACTCGGGGTGATATCGCCTGATGATTAAGTGTTAACAATTTTACTTCACTGACACTATGCATGGATAAGTTGGCATTCATTTTGCTATAGAGTGATGCAGGAATGAACGTATCTTTAAAAAAAGCGCTTGCTAACAAGTGGCTGAATGAGACTACTAAACGTCATCACGCCTAACGCTAGTCCACATTAGCTTAGTAGTGGTTACCTGAAGTCATGAGACAGTGGTTTAGTTTGTTTAACGTTGGCTTTTCACCTGTCGATTGCCTTTATGCTTCAATAGTCCAAAAGTTGTGTTCATTTAAGTACATTTACTTTTTTTGTCGAGGGAACCAGTGCGATGTTAACTTCTGAGGTTGGCCTACAAAAAGACATCATCCCTGCAGCACTCCATTGACAGGGCCTCTTGTAGTAACATGATCAGCATGGGGTAAACAGTGAAAGATTAAGCTCACGTAAAGATCACAGCTGGTGTCATCCACAAACTACTGATGACATTGCCATGACATCCCTAGATCACACATGGGGAAACTGACAACCAATATCGCGTTCATTCATTTTATGCTCCCTATCTTGAGTGGCAAAACAAACGTGTCCATCTAGGGTCCTTAACAATGGTTTCAATAGTTAATGTACATTATTGTGGTTTAATACAATCTACCTGATCCAGATGTTGCCATCCCGGAGGATTCTGCAGATAGAGTCTTCCCCAGTTATGGTCCCACACCTGAGCAGCGTCGTGATCTTTGTTTTGCACTGGTGTGAGACTTAAACTGGAGTGGACAGAGTTGGCATCGTTTCCGTTTCTCCTGTCACAATGTGCGTTGAGAACGGTCAACTTTTAAGTCCATCACACACACAACATCCTCTACTCACTGAGAGCCAGGAGCTCATTATCAGATCATTGGCTAGATGGACTTACAGCACGGTGTCAATAGCTCCATGAAAAGCTGTTTACTACAAAACAGGGTTGTTTCTTTAAGAAAAAGTGTGTAGTATGTAGTATGTACTTTTCGTGGGTAAATTCATTCATATTAGAAGCATTTTATCAGAGGCAGTGCCAAGTGTCATATAATCATCCACAAGAACAATGCTTCTGGACCTCTAAGTGTAATTTTCCGGACTATTGGAGGCGTGTGGTCAATTTGCAACATTTGCACTCCATAATCCATCCTACTCTAAAGATTCCTGTGTTCGGTGCTCTCAGGGACTGCACTACCTTCCCACCTACACATACAGAGACTATAATATGCACCAGGGTCAGTTTAAGTTAAATACGGACATAGCTTTCCGAGTAGGAGGGAGATCAAAACAACATGTTAGAGAGAATATATATATATATATATACAGTTTCACCTCTCTGCAATGTGCTGATGTGTACTTTTTTTGCATCATGAATGAAAGCTCTCAAAAAGCGCCTTACTAATTACAAGTAAACCATTTTCTCTTCAAAAATATGAATCCGGTAATTGATTCTTGTGTATGTGGGGCAAATGGACACCCAGCAGGATGCAGGTTTGTATCCATAAATAATGCCATGAATAATACGACAGGTCGAATGGTGTTTAAAGATGAGGGTTGGGAGTAAACAGATCAATATCTGAATAAACCGCTCAAGATGCTGCATTCCCTATTGGGTTTCGCTGTAGAGGAAACCATCAGCCAACACCACATCCCTTCACCTCCTGTGTAACAAACACACAATTCGCAGGCAGGAAATGACCAAATATGCAAATTAAGATTCAACATTTGGGAATTGGTTGTGCTTTGACGTATTTGATCAGCCTGTCTTCACATATTATTCGGGCATGAATTGAATATTCCTTTCAAAGAGGGAAGTTAGCTTTTAATTAACTGTTACAGCGCTTACCGTGATATTTATTGTTATTTTGAAGAGTTCACACTCAAAGCACACAATGAAATGTGTCAAAACCACATAAATTAGGGGAAATTATTACTTAGTGTTGTATTGAGTATTTCTATGTGCTTTAAACCAGTTGATCTGTATCAGAAGCTTTGAGTCACAGCTGATGCATTTTGTTGGCCATCCTCATTGACCTCACTTCAGCAGAACACCCAACAGATGCTGTGTACGAGAAATGAAGCATGCATTTTCATACACACCAGGTGCTGGTTGTCATTGTACATAATCAGATTCAAACTGGCTTACAGCACAGTATGACAGCAGTGAGTCTGGCATAGCAGAGCCACTGTGTTCTGAACAGTAATATTAACCAGGACGGTTAGCTGTGTTATTTTAACCGTCTTACCCCCCAGCAGTTTGGACTGGCAGTTGACAAACTCTGGTTTCCTTGCTGCGCTGTAGCGCTGGCAGGTGTGGTGAAGAATCTGGATGAAGGTGCACTTCTCTCCTGCTGAACCAGCGACCCACTGGTCGAAAGCATTCTCGAACATTAGGTCAAACTCTGGACAGTCCTTGGAAGGAACAACAGTGAGAGAGAGAGACATGAGTGGGAAGTGAGTGTGTGAGGTCAGGGAAAAGAAACATCGAAACTATTAAGGAAAGAAATGGTGAAAGGCGTACAAAACTAGTTATTTGGTATTAGCAATACTCATGTTAATGATGAAGAATCCCCTGGCTATAAAACAGTTGGATAAAAAGCAATGGTTGAGGGGGGATGGGGAATTACATACTTTGTTCGGGTCAATGCCGTTGACCTGTTGTAGCTGGTCGATTGTCCACTGTGACCTTTTTACGAAGGCAGAAGATCCTTGGAACTGCTTCACCTTAGTGATGGATACATGGGAGGGTTTCCTATTTGTCACTGCGAGAACAAAAACAATAAAACACAGCAGATAAGATTTAACAGCAACATAAAATTCCAGAATATGAGCTTTCTGTGTTTTATTATGTAGTTAGAAACATTTGGATTCGGGTGAATGGAAAGTTCAGGTCACAAGATGAGGAGTATTCGAGTCAAGCAAAAGTACAAGGTCCTTCTGTGGGCGGCAGAAACAAAGGCAGCCTTTAACAATGGACATTTCACTTTTGGAGCCAATAGCAACAGAGACCATGACAACATTTCCTATGAGAAGACACAGCCTAAACCGTGAACAGACAAACCCTGTAAACATGGATCTGGCTTATACAGTTATCCTGCCAAATTGTGTGCAATAATCATATATGAACATACATCACACGATGAGTTTCTCTTCTATTTCAGTTACATAAATAACTTCTTTTCTTCACACATAATGGTTTAAAGAACATAAACTCTTGGTTACATTGTTCCTGCCAAAGCAGAACTTGCTGAGTATTTTTACACTGTGCTGGACACAACTCACGTCTCTCTAAGAAAGGTGGTTTCTTCTACTGCTCTGCTGACTAAGTGGTTAACGAATTGCACTGTGTTCAATCGTGGAGGTATAAACAAGTCACAAATGAAAAATGGGCATGATGATAACACAAACCAACAGTGGCGTTACATTGTGCTTCCATTACAGTTATTAGGAGTTTCATCAGTTGATGCAATAACAATCATGCTTAGCTGTACAAAAATAAGGGTTCATAACATTTATACAATCCAGAAAAAAGTGTGTTGCTTAAAAATTCTTTGAGGCATTTACCTAATGAACTTGTCCTACAGGACTAGTGACATGCTAAACATTTTATAATTAGCAGAGGTGCTTCTGACTTTTCTCCTCCTGTATTGCGTCCTGAGCCCCAGTCATCTCAGCATTGCAGTACTTTCAGTTTTATTACCATTGATATCCGTGTTTCACTCTTAACATACAGAGATAACCATGTTTACAGATCATCGGAGCTCATAGTTCTCTCGTGTGTCAGAACTGCTGGATGCGTGTGTGGCTGGATACTGAACCCATTTTTTTTTCATGCCCCCGTGTTGCTTTTTTAACCCCCGGCAGCGAACCTCTGCTTCCGCTTTCCCACATTTCCCATTGTGTCATCTCAGAAACAGTGAAGTGTTCGGGTCATTTTCACTGCCGTCACTCTTCACTCTGCTTCTCATCTCTCCAAAACAACCACAGTTTGCCTTTTGTTCAAGTTTATTTTTCTGACAGATGTACCACACCTCATTTCTCGAGAAAGAATTTTGAAAATATAGGTAGGGCTGAATGTTACATTAGGTGATACATTCAGCAAGACAATTCCCCTGAGAGGAGGGGTGTTTTGATGTGTTTTGTGTATCCATTTAGACAGCTGCTGTTAATACTTGAGGAGCTGGCCTGAGGCTGCAGGGTGGAACAGACAGACACAGGCAGACCGATACAATACAGGCTGTCAGTCATCTCCTTTTCTTGAGAGTATATTTTTACTCAAACAGACCGGCGGCACCATGACAAACAGAGTGAGTGATCAGATCTGTCTTGGGTCACACAGAGAGCTAATAGAAGCTCTAACAACCAGAAAATGTCATGAAGGGTACAGGGTGACAGCTGCATGTAATGAACCGGTCTGTTGAAGAGTAGGAGTCTTGAAACCAATTCTCAGCGAGAACAATTTGTCTCTGAGCTACATTTGTGGCACAGATACGCTACTTGCTCCAAACTGATAAAATTGAAAGAAGGCTTTATTGCGGTCACTTGATAAGTGCAGGACTGGTAGCTGGCAGATAAAGGACTAGTACAGCAGGAATTCAACTAGAAACCATCGTTCTCTTGCCTCCATCTTATTCTACCAGAAACACTATGGGGCTGGAACTAATGATCATTTTCATCAGGAATGAATTTGATGATTTTAAATCCTGATGAAAATAAAATATTTTTAAATGAACTGCTTTGTTTATAAAAGCCCACCACAAGTATCCAGAGCCCAAGTTTATGTGCTCAAATTGCTTGTTTTGTCTGATAAACTGTGAACAAACAAAAAGATATTAAATTTACAGTTACACATGGGCAGGACCGATTGGGCAGGATGTACGGATCGGGTAGCGGGTGACACGTGGTGTTCTTGTTTAGCGTTAATGTGCTGATATATGATATGGAAATGTGATATTGGTGATATCATTTTAGGCTGTACCTAAAGCATTTCCATTCCTACTATCGGTATCAAAACAACTCCAAAATCAAACAGACAAAAACAGGACATCGTCAGATTTAAGTAGCTCCAACCAATGAATGTTTCCTTTCTGTTTCAGCCAAGTCCTATGTGAAAAGTGTGCTCTTCCTTCCAAGCTGAATATGCCAAGCTGTGCACAAGCGCAGACTATGTTTGCTGACAGCAAAATGTACTGTGACTCAAAGCAGAACAATCAGCCACCGTAGGGGAATGACATATCACGACTCACATTCTGAAAACACAGTAACGGTAGTCTTACTGTAGCAGCCATTCATGTCAAGGCTCAACGGTTGTAAATGTTTGCGCCTACAGCATACCGTAGAACATAATAGATAGTAAAGAAAACAATGATGATTATGAATGAGTGTGACCCCCCCGGGCCTGAGATGCTTTGACTGACACATTCCTGTATTAACATATTCACTTTCATATCACAAGCTTTGTGGAGAGCCTGTTTTGTAAAACAATCACAGTGACTCCAGGATCAGAATAACAGCTAATAACACTGGAGAAATGGCATGAAACACAAGAAACGCAGACTTAATTATCTGTTACTCACATGGGGAGGAAAATGTACGACATGTTCAGTCGCAATCTGGTGCTGCCATTTGCCGGGGTTTTTTGTTCAATAAACATTACACTGAGCCCGACTGCTGAAATGAATCGGTGAAAATGTGTCTCAAGGCCATGGAGCTAAATCGTCAACACATCAACGCAGAGGTCTTAATCAAACTGCCAGACACCTTTGTGCCTCTCAAATCCATTTCATATTCAGTTGTTGACTCCCACCTTGTCTGAGTTGTCTCTCCTGCATATTAAACTGAAAGTTAAAGGAGACGGCTTTTTTGGAACAACAATCAAGCCAAAGACTGTGAGAAAATGTACGCTCAAGCCCTCCTACTAAAATGAAACCTCAAGTTTCTCTCGTGATAAATTCAACCAGCAAGTGATGTTATGAGTGTGGAGAAAAAAATGAATTTAGAGATCTCAAGAAAAATAATGACACAGGCAAGCCGTGATACAACCACTGATGAGAAAATCATAGAAGGGAGTAAGGAAGTTACATGTCATTAGACATGCTGACATTATACCATCAGTGTTGCAGTAAGCTTCTTTTTGATATTGTATTTTGTAACGTTTTTCAGCAAGACTATTAAATCAGACAACCCCCTGACCGCCACTCCTCCATGTGCAATTTGAATATGAATGCTGATGAGTTGAGACTGAGATTCGGAGGCCAAAGTTCCCCCGAGCTGGAACTTCTGTACCGAGTGAATATGCAGATGAAGATCCCATTCCTGTACTTTAACTGAAGTGGATCAAATATGAAACTGACTTGTTTCACTTTTACAAAGCAAACATAATAATCACAAACATACCCTGAACACAATGTGAAAGTATAATAAACTTTATGAGAATGATAAAAAAAAAACAAAACACTACATTATGTATCTAAAAACAAGGAAAGCACACAGCCATTGAGAGGTTGCCAAAGCCATTGTTTCCATGTGGGCTGTCAGAGAAAGGCCAAGGAAGGGGTTCCTGTCCTGCTCCCTTCTCGTGCTCCGATGGCAACATGCTTCACTTCCTCCTGTCGATCAGTCCCTTGTTATGCTTGGCTATGAGGCCTGAAAGAAAACTCGTACTGTACTCGTCACAGACTGTAGACATCAGAGACGAAACTCTCTCAAGATCAGCTTTTCCTAAAGGAAACATTATCATAGCTTGTGGTTAATAGAGAAATGTGAGAACCAAGAGGAATTCTAGCAAAAGCAGTAATGACGTATAGGATCATGTGAGAAGTGTGTTGGTTGTCGATTATGAATGCACACAGCGTTTATGGAAATGTTTAATATAGTACAGTACTATGGAAACAAATATAATCCAGTACAACCAATGATAGAGTGAGCACGGAAAAGCTATGGGATTAATGCAGAAACATTGGAGCTTGCCAATGACACCATGAGAGCAAACAGAATATGAAGGACCACCCTCATGTGCATAACATTCAGAACTTTCTTTCACTGATATAACACAACTTAATTCTCGTGTCAACACTGACGCTTATCAAAAATCTCCATCCACAAGCCAAAAACATTGATAAACATCAGGATTTCGGGCCTTTCGAGAACAGACCCAAACCACGGAATAACAAAAGATCACATCAGATATGGAAGATAACGTGTAACTGTTCAGTCAGGGAGGCACTCTGTGGCCCTCGGAAGGATATGTTATTCCAAGACTCACCCGGCACGAAAAAGTGAAGTAACTCATGCACAAGATGAAAGTGTGGAGTGCACACTACACTTGTACAGACATTTTGTACATTGCACAGCTTTCACATCAAGCTAACATTAGCTGACATTTGGGAAATCATAGAATTACATACAGTACATCCATATCGTCAGTACCGCAGCATCATGACAAAATGAATTCAATTATTCCTGAGTGTCACAACTTTACTGAACTTTGTGTCCGCATGTATGTGACAGATCCTCATCTGTATCTGTGATTGTGTTGCTGAACAGAGTTGTATGTTTGTATTACAATTTGTAATCACAGTTTGAAGATACCCGGTTAATCAAGCTTAAAAGATGATGGGATGTTTTTAATCATTTTGACTCTCCCATCCTTCCTACTTTAAAGAAGCTTTTCGCGACATCGATCTCAAGCAGGTGGGCTAAGGATCTCTTGACAAATCAGACCCATCCTCGGTTAGCACTCAATTGGCTCTGCAGTGCTCCG